CTATTTGTTTTAGATAGTTTTTCGACTGGTTTGGTAAGTTTTAATAAGAAAGCCACTATAATGTAAAAAAAATAGTATTGTAAAACATTTTCTTCTGAAGTTCTTACATTTTATATTCATTGACATTATAGTTGTGTCAATCTGTGAAAATTCTAGAGATAGCATGAACTACTGGTCTGAGGATGAAGTTAAAATGAAAATGCTATAGGAGCTAATCTGAGCAGTGAGATCTTTTGGTGGGAGATATTATGAATTTTATAAATCCTGAATCAAAGTCATTTGTTCTTCATCCTTTTCATCTCCTGAACTTTCCAAGGCTCCAAAACTACTTCTCAAACTTTACTGTGTACATGTTTTGCAATATATCTTTTACATATTATAATAGTTTTCTACTGCTGCTGTAACAAATTACCACAAACTTCCTGACTTAAAACAACAGAAATCTATTAGCTTATAGTTCTGGAGCTCAGGAGTCTAAAACAGGTCTCATGGGCTAAAATCAAAGTGTCAACAGAACTGTGCTCCTTCTGGAGGATGTAAGGGAGAATTTGTTTTCTTGCTTTTCCAGCTTCTAGAAGCTGCCCATATTCTTTGGTTCTTGTTTCTCTTCTGTCTTCAAATCCAGCAATGGTCTGTGTAGTCTTTTTGATGCTGTCATTGCTCTGGTTCTCCCTCTCTGGCCTTCCTCTTATATTTATATAAACCCTTGTGATTACATCTCCCCCCTACTAATAATCCAGGATAAATTCCCCATCTCCAGGTCAGATTATTGACAACCTTAATTCCACTACTACCTTTTTACTTCCTTTGCCATGTAAGGTAACATATTCCCAGGTTTTGGGAATTATTAATAGGATGGGGACACCCTAGGATGGCCATTATTCTGCCGACGGCATATGTCAAGAAATAAGGGCCCTCATATGAAAAGTAGACACAAGGAAATATGTTGTCAACATAACCTTGTTAATTTCAAAAGTCCTAACCTTCTTTAGTATGTTAAATACCATTTTAATTGGACAATATTTTTTAAAAATCAAAGCTTTTG